AGGATGTCTTGTCATCAGGCCTGATAGCGGCGACCCTAGCCAAGTTGTTGTGAAGGTAATTTTTGGCAGTGTTTCAGTTTGTTTGTTTTACCTTTGTAAATTGGCGCTTTTTATTGCATGTTCTCTTCATTGTCTTTCTGATTTATCTTGTAGTGCTTTAGGTTTTGAATTTATTAGCGGAAAAATTCCCCATTGTGACTAATTCGAAAGGATATCGACTTCTGCCCTCTTACTTGAGAGTGATGCAAGGCGATGGTATCAGCTATGAAAGTATTGAAAAGGTTAGAAAATTCTGTTTATTCTTATTTTGGGGATGTTTTGGAATAATTTTTGCTTTCTGGGTATATTTGAAGGATGTAAGGGCACGCAACCTTTCTAAAAACTTCCAAGTAAAAGGAAGTGTGCGAAAATTGATCCTAATGGCTTAAAATTTGGCCGAAGAGACGGGAAGTTTAGCGAAAGAGTATGGTAATTAGTGGCAACTGCTCGAAAAAAGGAGTGGCGCAGTTTCTGCTCAGTTGGCAATTGTTGTTAGGGATATTCGCTGCTTCATAGTTTGGTATGCGCAAAAATATGAAATCTCACGTGCTCGTGTGTGAGAGCTGGATTGGAATTTATAAGTTCGCCCATGAACAAAAAACATCCTCCAACAATTTTGGTTTCCTGTTTTGTCTTGTTCCCGAGCTAAAAGCTCCCACATAAAATGTCACTGCATATGGAAGCTGAATATAAAATCCCAGAGTTGCATATTTAAGGGAAGCATCATACCTAATTTTCAGCTTTCCGTCTTGCTAGTTCTCGAAAATTTCGGGCTAAAACTCCCATGTGTCAGTACTGAGACTTACGCTTAAGTGAAGGCTGAATTTTAATTTGGCAGCGCACATGGTTTAGAATACTACCTTAAAATTTCAGTTTCCTGGCCTTCGCGGTTCCCAAGTCACCAATTTTGACGCCAAAACTTTCACGTGAACACACGTAGGACTCAGGCGTACGTGAAACCGGAATTTAAATTTGCGGTGTTACAGTTGGCCAGTGAGCGTTTTCATAAAATTTCGGCTTCGTAGCTTTTGTGTTCCCTGCGTTGGTAATTTTAGTGTCAAAAATTTTGTGTGACCTTATATGTGGACTAGGCCTAGGTGAAGGCTGAGTTCAAATGTTGCATGGTCACAAATGGACAGGAGCAAAATTCCAGTTCCCTGGCTTCCGAGTTAACTTTGATGCCAAAACTTTTGCGTGGCCGTGCGTAAGACCCAGGCATGCATCAAGGTCGAATTTAAATTTGAGGTGTTACAAATGGGCAATCAACATTTTCTTAGAATTTCAGCTCCCTAGCTTTTCTGTTTGCCGAGTTAGTAATTTTGGCATCGTTACTTTTACGTGACTATACATTAGGATTGATCAAACACACACACACACACAGATAAGAGCATGACAATGTGCAGTTGTTACGTAGCAAAAAACGCACAAAAA